ATATATATATATATATACATATTATATTACACCAGCCCTACAGGATTGACACCTGAGGAGTAGAGAGGAACACAGGTTATGTATGCACACCTGTAGCACACAGGCACTCTCCAGCAGGCAGCTCTTCAGATCCTCTAGCACCCCCGTACAAGGGTGATTATCTTTCTCCTTATCTTCGTAGTACTTCGGCATCGCTGCTTGTGTGTCTTCCCTCACTCCACTGACACTTCTACAGGGGCAGCGCCATCTTTCTCCCACAATGCACCGCGTGACTTTCCGCCGTCGCTACAACTTCCGCATTCTTAGCCTGGTCTTGGGCACTGTTTGCTACGCAGGGATTCGTGAGACGACTACATTTCCCGACAGAACGCGGGGCACGTGGACGCTTCCGGGTGTCGTGACGTCAGCAGGCGCTACGTGTTCTGGTCTGTGTTACCGGAAGAGAACTGCTGGGGAATCGAGCTACATAGGTGAGAAGGGACGTTATGGGGTGATGGTACTCAGTCATACACTCTGTGGAGGGCTGATTCCCGGGGTGGTGGTACTACACTCTGATCATTACTCATGCAGATCGCTGTGAGCCTTAGTTCTCTATATTAGACACAGCCAAGCTGTCAGGTTTACTGTTGCAGTGGGTTGGTTGCTATACACATCACACACATTGCCCAATGTGATCTAGGTTTGGGTCTTCTGTCTCATTATATTATAAGCTCCTGTATTGATCATGCCATTAAAGGGACTCTGTTACCAAGGTAATATATGTCAAGAACCATTCCTCTGACCTTTGCTGTCTTGCAGACCACTGTCCTCCTTTTGCATTCAATGCATTTCTAGGTGTGTCAGATGGCTGGTCATTACTGTGCCCTGTGCTTCCTCCCACCAACCCCTAGGCCACTTACAGGTTTTAAAGTAATGACAGGGCTCACTGAATAAATACACAGGAACACAACACACCTGGCTGCTAGCTCCATTTGGCCAAGGAATTTTCCAACTGACTCCTTCAATCAGCTGACTAAAGGATGCTGGGCAGAAGGGCGCAGACAGTGGCATCCATGGTGCAAATTGTGGCCGGTTCATAAGCAACCAGCCAAAATGTGACATGTATGTACCCAGCTTTAGATGCATCATATGTAAATAAGAAGAAACTCAGTCTGTTCCTCAGTCTACCCCTCTAGTTTCACTCTTCAAACTGCTAAGAGTAGCCTGGAATATGCACAAAGGCCTTCCCCAAGGAAACAGATAAAAATTAAGATATATATATATATATTTAGAAGAATATATATATATATATATACTGTGTGAATATGAAAACATAAACATATAGAAGGTGTTTTCTGAACTTTGATTGCAAAGTGGAAATACACATTAAAGGGCAGGACAGGACTTAGTGCAGCATTCTGCGCAGAGAGCAGAGCTGTGGAAGGGACCCAGCAGGCACTGACCACTACAGGCTGTTTATAGGAGGGGGCGGATACAAGAGCAGCCACCCTGCACAAGGAGAGAGCAGCAGTAACTGCACAGAGGCAAAGTTTCACACTGGATTACTGCTGAGATCTGGAAGAAATTCTTCATACACACCAAGATTCAAGAACAAATATGAATGCCTTTAGTATTTAGATAATATTTCCTTATCCTGGAGTTCAGCTTTTAATCAAACATGTATGCTCAAGTTCCTTGAAAAACAGAGAAAGGCGCCTTGTGACCAAAAAGAGAAGAAAAGCCAATGCTGTCTTCTAACATATCAGAGTGTATTTGCAGTACCAAGTTTGGGCAGTGTGAGGCGCACACATTTTATTTTACGCTCTGGCCACCATTCAATGATCAGGCACACATTTGCTGCTAAATACTGAAACAGCAACTACATGACTTTTATATTCGTTAAGTGCGCCACTTTGGAAATGCTGATATCTTGCAGGGATGCACTAGTTGTTCTTTTTGTATTGTACTTTATAAATCTTCCCCAGTGTTTGTAAAATTCTGAGATGACCTATAGAGGCAGCCTGACCTCTATATCTACTGGTGAGTACAACACATATGTAATACATCTAGTCATCATCTGACAGTGACATAAATGCACATCAAGGCACATTGGATGCTTAGTAGTAACATATAACAAATGGAAAAGGTAACTAATAGATCTGCTTTTTGTTTCCTGCAGGCTTTATGTAAGGCCATTAATTCACAGCACAAAATGCTGCCCACCACGTCTCTGAATTCCCGGGCACAGAGCAATGGCAACCTCAGCCCTCGGGATGCAGCAAGACACACTGCTGGGGCCAAGAGGTATAAGTATCTGAGGAGGCTCTTTCACTTCAGGCATATGGACTTTGAATTCGCCATCTGGCAGATGCTGTATCTTTTCACCTCGCCTCAGAAAGTCTACAGAAATTTTCAGTACAGGAAACAAACCAAAGACCAGTGGGCAAGAGATGATCCGGCATTCCTGGTCCTGTTAGGCATGTGGCTATGCGGTAGGTTATTTGCACACATTGATTAGATACAGCAGTCTTTAACCACTTCCCGTCAGGCTGTTTAATTAGAAACTCTTGAATGTGGGTGGCGTTTTAAAACGTCCTTTCCACACTCGCGCTTGTGCACGCTGCCCCGCGTACGCATGAGCGGGAAACAGGCAGCAATTTAAACAGACGCGATGGCTGTTTACATACAAGTAATCTGTTGTTTGTTGCGTGCAAGTGTGCGCTCCACAGCCACCTATCAGTTCTCTGTGCGTGTCCAGGACCAGCACGGTAGCTCTCTGAACAGAGTTTAGAGGGAGATCAACACATGTCCACCCGCTGATCTCCCCTCCGTTCTCTGAATGTGGAAGTGATGTGTATTACATCACTTCCGCCTTCAGCTGTCATTTCTCCAGCTTCTGTAGCTGAAGAGAATCTGGTAAAGCAGATCTACACTTCATCAGCTTCTTTGGGGGTCCCTAGGTGACATTAGGGGTTGCTATCACTTAGGGGGCATGTTATCCCCTATGTGATAGCAATAAAGTTAAGTGTAAAGTAAAAAAAGAAAAAAATAGTCACATTGAAAAAAATTTCTAAACACAAAAAATGTTTTAAAGTCCCCCACCCCCATCTACACACGCATGCAAACACAAACATGTGTTGGGTGTTCCTATGTCCAAAAGTGATGATTGTGATGATTGTGCCCATTGAGGCGCACATGTTTCATATCACTGTGTTTGCAGTGCCAGGCCAGGCTGCTGTAAACAAAGCTAGCAGGGTCTTGTCCTGTATTAAAAAGGGGATGTATTGCAGGGACAAGTCTGCCTTTCATGGCTAGTTTAAAGCTACATTTCAGGCAAACCAATAAATCTGTACATGGACATATGAAATACATACAGTATAGGTGAGCTATGTTACCTGCAAAAGGATTTGTATTTCTTTCCGTTCAGCTCTGAGATATACACAGTACTGACCTATCTGGCAGGCTGCAATTAAGTAACGCATACAAGTCTTGTCCCTCCCCCAGCCTGTGACTGAACAGCAAAAGGAGAACCAGCAGACTAATGAGCTCATCCATCTGCCCCTCTGCTGTCTCCTATCAGCATGCTGTTTGTTAGCACATGAAGATTGCTGCACAGCTGACTAGCATTATGTCATAGCTGATCAGGAACCATGCAGACTGGTCTTTGGGGACCCTAGCTGTGGGTGACTTGATGGGATTGAGAGCTACGTGCTGATAATAGTTATAAACATATTCCAATCACAAGGCAACATTCTGGGGATTTTTTATATACAGATGGTGAGCGGGAAGGGGTATAGGTGTAATCCTGTGCTGAGAAAAAAGTAAAACAAAAGTTACACATTAATGCAGACAAAGTAAGAAGGCAGAAAATACTCATGGCTCTTTTTAAGTGCTCATATTATCTCCCTGAATTTGACATGCAAATTCTCAAAATCATTGACTTGGTCCTCGTTTCCTGAGCCCCACCCCATGGCAGTACCCCAGCCTTTGGACCGAATGATCAGACAGACAATTGCATTGTGGGATGTTGTCGTACCCGTGCTGCCACAGCCAGGAAATTGGAATGTGCCTGTCAAATGTTGGGGGGTAGCAGGGTGCTTCTGAGGGCCATTTTTGCGCATATAGTGTGTACTTTCACTTTATGGTTACTGCATTTATATGCGGCAGCTTGTCCCATGCAGGTCCCTAACCTTACGTCAAATAATTTAATATGTTTTAGTAAGTTAATGTTATGATACAGGTATTATATTTGCTTTTTCTGGGGACTACATGAACTCATCGGCCATTAGAGTCTTAAGTAAAAACATTGCTGGCAGGTAGGGTTTTATTGCAGAAGAGACTCGGAATGTCTTTTCTGCATTAAAAGCTGCTCTTTTGCCTCCAAGCAATGTTTTACATGTGCACGAAGCCACGAATGCGCAGTTCATTGTAGAATCTCAACATGCCTTGTGCTGGACCAAATTAACTCCCACATGCGCGTGCAGGACTTCCGCCTTCCAATCAAGATGGCCTGCGACGTCTAACCTGGAAGACCGGGTAAAGATGTCGGCGGCACTGACCAGCGGGAGCCCGCTGAAAGGGTGCTTTGGGAGGTATGTCTGCCATAATGTACAAGTATGCTGTGCTGAATTGCACATTATGGTGAAAGGCATGAGCACTGACAGCAGAGTTTAGTTAAGCTTTAAGATTGGGGCGGATGAGTTCATGCTTTTTATATGAAAAAGTGTTTTTAAATTGGGATGTAAAATTAGCTATTGTGGGAGAAATTCAGGGGACATGGCTGTTCACAATTTTGTAATCTTTGTATGTTTTTCCTCTTCTAGTCTCCACTATAATGTTTGGAGTTGTACTACATATGGGATTTTTCGAGATGCTGAAACTGCTCCTCTGGATTGTGTTTATTGACTGCATCGGCGTTGGGTTACTTATTGCAACTCTTATGTGGTATGTTATTCGCTATCTTTTTACATATGTATTGTATCATGAGTTACAATAAAAATCAGGAGTTATCTGTAGGTTGAACTCGATGGACTTGTGTTTTTTTTTTTCCAACCTGACTAACTATGTAACACTGAGGGGTGTGTTTATAAATACATTTGCAGAGCCATTCCTCCTGCAATGCACCTTTGTTCTGTGCAAATGGGACAATAATGAATGTTATTAGTACATGTTCTTCCCAGGTCAAATATAATTCATTCATAAGATGAGTGAATCAGGAAAGTACCAAATTATGGCCACTAGATGGAGACGAGGAGCTTAGCAAAGAAGTACTTCTTTCCTGTACTCCATCTA